CAGAGTAGCCAAGTATATGGCCTTCTGTATATTATAGGGAACTCAAGCGTTCTCGTTCCATGCACTGCATAAGCAGTTTTTTTTTTCCACATCACTCCCTACCCATTGGCAAGGTTCTCTACAATCAAATGTGAACAAAACTCTAGAAAGTTCACGTTGACTGTAGATGGGGCTCTTCTCATCATACCATGACCCCTATGTCTCTTGCTAATACTCTTAAAAACATGTGGATCTCGAAAAAATGGGTTCCAATACGGTCGCGGATAATAAAATAAAACAATGCTAAATACAGATAATAGAAAGTATAGGTTGGATAACCAAATTGTTTACTTTTAACTATCTGAGCCCTGGGGCCAGTTGCATAAACATAGTCACTATGTTAAGACTGTGTCTTAAGAACTAGTTTGACCAACTAGGAGTTAGCCAATGGATAACCAGTCTTACTTTTCGATTCAAATTAGAGCAGTCTACCTTTTTGTAACTGATTTTAAAAAGTTGTGACTAGTCTAGAAGAAAAAAAATTACATGACTAACTTTTTAAGACTAGTCTAAGCAACCTTTATGCAGCCGGCCCTGAACTTGAGAACTTGCCTACTGATCTATAATCAGTACTTTTGTTCTAACTTGTTTTCCTCTTCCTCTACACTTTCTCATCTTATCACATACACCAGTTAAACTTTTTCTGTTCGTTTCTCTCAGCTTTTGGTCCCTCCCTTTCCCCCTCCCTCCTTTGCCCACTCACATCCCATTGGCAGTGCCTTATTTCAAACCATTTACTCTCCCTCTTGCTGATGCCTTTCCATGATTTTGCATCCTTAATACAGATGCACTCCTTCCGAACAGTACGACCCTTACACATCACCTGAGATAACCTTCACTGTCCTCCGTTTGTTTTTCAGGTCTTTTTTTTTTGTCACACTACTCCATTCTTTCCCACCGCTAAGAATAGTTTCCATCAAGTTCATGTGTGATTTGGCTTAACACAATTATATCCCATCTCTCTCCGGCTTCATTCCCTGAGTACTTAATGGGGGACTATAAAGGGATGGTAATTAACTGGAGAGGGCACTTTTATTAATTAGGTTTTAACGAGAGCTGAGACTGGATGGTGTATCTTAAGAACACTGTTAGTGCTAGATATTGGAATATAGTCATGCACGTCTCAATGCTGTCACTTGTAAGATGAGTCCTCTAAGTCCCTTTCTGAATCTCTTGGGGGGGTTATAACTATCTTAACACTGTTAGTGCTAGATATGGGAATATAGTCATGCACGTCTCAATGCTGTCACTTGTAAGATGAGTCCTCTAAGTCCCTTTCTGAATCTCTTTCTCACTCTCTTGACTGAAAATAAAGAGTGGGCCTTTTGAAAAGGGCTGAGAACAGAGCTGTGATTAGTTTCAAAGCAGAGGTCAAAGTCTGACTGATGACCTTCTGAGGATATATCGTATATGCATATGTGCCAATGCTTTGTAGTTTGTCTTTGCACAGCTTAATTTCATTTAAAGCTAATTAATTGTGCTGTGACATTGCCTTTTTTTAATGTGCCTGTGTTTGTGTGCATAAGTGTTCTTGCTCTGTTAATTTATTTTCTTTTAGTGTTATTCCACAAGAGACGTCGATATGAGCAACTCGACTGAGAGTAGTTTAGTGCACACAAATAAGGGAGAGAGAGAACGAGGAAGGGATTGCAAAAAGCCTTAATCACTGAGATCAGAAAGCTCCGAGATAATACATAGTCAGTTCATATAATTCAGCGATTGAATTGCATTTGTTAAGTGATTTCAGTTCATTAAAAGGGTGTATGGGCTAAAAAGGGACACAAACCTGTATGCAATGCATCGACAGATGGTTTGCATAAGGCATTCATACCTCAGTCGGGGAGAAAGCTTGAAGAGGAGGGGGTACTGCAGTATTTTGTGCTGTGCAGTTCCCCAATTAGTCCTCTAGGTGGCCTTTGAGCACCGCCGAGCTTCAACCGCAGTGGGATAGCAAGCAGAAAAATCCAAAGAACCTACACTGCACCAGACAGAGAGAAATGGAGTTAGAGTGAAGGTACAATGCACACGCACTACAGCAGCATACTGTACGATAAAAGAAAAATAGCATAGATATGGTTCATTTCTACTTCTGTCTCATAAAAATGCATGTATATATCACTTCTCTTTGGCATTGTTTCTAGAAATTGAATAATTTGTGAATGGAGCTTCATTTACCTTTACTGCAGTCATTCCTTCACATTTCCCTCAGTGGCCGTAACCTGTTCTCTTCCTTTTTCCTCTCTCCGTGCTCTCTGTCGATATAGTGCTGTTGTCTTTTATAGGCGTATCTGTCCTTACAACCAACCCCCATCCCAACGGACATACACACCCCCATCCAGGCACACACACTTAACAATGATTTCCCTTTTTAGTGAGAGCCTTGTTTTGTTTTTTGCATTGTCAGCACAACTTTTCCCCCCTAGTTTCCTCTCAGTTTCAGTTTTTCCTATTCATCATTTTATTTATTTACTCCTTTTGTGTTCCTTATAGTTATTTATTTCACTATACAAGCCTGACATATTTAAACACCTTGCAAAAACGGCACTGGTTTAAATAATATTAATATGTTGGGAGGCCCAGACAAACATAGTGATGTTTTGATGGTGTAGCAGAGCCAAAGTTTTTCCACTTTTGAGGATTTAGTTGTGTATAATTATGAGAACTACTCTGAGAATATTTATTGTAAAAGCAGTGTAACACCAGCACAGTTGTGGGTTGAGTTTTTACATTATTATTTTATAATTACATTATATTATGATTATTATTAGGTTTATTTTTTTATTTTATTTATGACTCTTCAGTTTACTTCTGTTATAAAACTTTGTTTTGCTCATTTTCATTTCCAATGCTTATACTGCTTTAAATGATCAACTGAAACTCGTGTGCTGTCCGTGGTGCTGAAAGCAGAAACCCACTTAACTGTCTCAATTACATTGTTTCATGTGCTTCAGCCTCTCTCCTTCCTACAGTTCTCATATTCCTGTGATCTTTGTTTCAACAGTTAATCACAGGGGACATAAGGGAAAGCAAGAGGAAGAGTGAGCTGAGGAGAATGGATAAGAGTGGATAAGTAATGAGGGAAGACAGTTTGACAGATATATGTGGAACAGCCATGCAGCACAGCCAAACGAGGAACAGATAAGGAAGAGTTATTGTGAAAGCAAAAAGAGACAACACAGAAAAACATTTGTCATTGAAATCTGACCCTTGTCCACTGTAAAAAAAAATTGCTAGGCAACAGTAAAAAGTGCTTCATGTAGTAACTTGTTTTATTACATTTAAAACCCTTATTTAACATGAGGGAGTCAATGTGCCTATATTAGGTCACACTAACAAAAGTAATTTTTAAAGGTTAAATCGGCTACAAATGGCATGTTGCCACAGAGACCCCAAGAGAAAAAGATAATAGCGTCCCTGCTCCATATTTCCAAAATGGGATGTTTTGATTGGAAAAAGAGAGCCAGGACTCATTTGTTTCACTATAGCTATGAAGTAGAAACATTCCGTTTTTAAAGCACTTGCTTAGTGTAATGGAATGAAAACATGAATGTGCATATGAGAGGTTACGTGAAACTAACCCTTTTTAGGTAAATTTGACAATTGCACACTCAAACAATTACAATTTTCTGGATTTTACACCTGTAACCAAGGCTAATACTGTACACAGACTGTATTGAACGGTCTGCATAACATTAGCACTGCCCAGAGAGAGACAGTGTAAGAGTTAATGCTCTGCAGTCTTTTCTCCCTATTTTGTGTAGCTCAGCAAATAATCGTTCTGCCTTTAGCTTTTCTCCCTCTTTCCCACCCTTCCTCTCGCTCTCGTTTTCTTCCTCTCCCTCTTTCTATTGGATACGCTGAGAGTGTGGGGAGGGGGGTGGCTGTGAAATGTTCAGTCATTTTCATCTCTGTTCGCTGTAATTGAGCAGAGTGTTTTAGTGAATCGAGGGACATGAGAGCTGAGTGATGGCAAAAGACGGAAAAGGAAAGATGGGTGGGCATTGCAGAGGAGGAGGGGTCTCTTTCCTGTTTATTATGGGACACCTGAAGTATATTGAACTCACTCCTTTATTAAAACGCTTATCCCATATACTTGCATCATCATTCATCTGATTTTGTATGTTTGCTAGGGCCGTCATTTTGACATAGTTTTATGGACAGGCCCTCTCTTTTCCAAGCCCGATGAGTAGACTATACCATAAAGGACCTTAGGTTTATGATATTCGACAATGGTCTTATATTTGCAGTTTCTAATAAATTTCAATAGGATTTTGAAAAAAAAAATGGATTGATATTGCATTGCACCACATACACTCTTAAAAAAGTTACAAAACTGGGGCAGTACCATTTAAAAGGCACACCTTTGTATGCATTTACCCCCAAATGGGTACGTATCAGTATACTTAAATGGTACATATTTGACTCTTTAAAAATAAAGATTCCCAAAGGAGGTTTCGCAGTAGAACCATAGAAGAATGGCTTGGGTTCCCCAAAGAACCTTTCAGTGAGCAGTTCTTAAAATAACCTCTTTTTATTAGTGTGAAGAACATTCGAATAATCTCCATGGATGTTAGAGATTCTTCATGGAACCATAGACTCCAATAAAGAACTTCTAAGCATATAATAACTTTTGAAAAGGTACCACCCTGTGACAGCTTTTGTACAATTTTCCCTGCGGTTGTACAGAGCCATTAGTAACCGGTGCAAGAACTAAGGATGTGATGAGTTAAAGACAGGTTACTTTGACCAGTCTGATACTGTATAAATGTATGAGCTTCACTAATTTTCTCTTCTCTTCTGTTCTCCCACCGCAGGCTCCTCCTCCCCCCCGCCCCCCAACTAATGATGTGATGAGTTAGAAGCAGGTTACTTTGACAAGTTTGATAATGTATAAAAGTGTGAGCATCACTAATTTTCTCATCTCTTCTGTTCTCCCACCGCAGGCTCCTCCTCCCTCCCTCCCCGCTCGGTTCTCTCTCCTCCTCTCCCTCCCCCTGCTCCTCTATGCTCAGTTCGGTGTGTGTCTCCTCTTTCAAAGGGCGCAAGGGTGGGAACAAGTCGTCCAACAAAGCATGTTACAGCGCAGACATGACTTGTCCGTCAGACAGCGAGAAAATAGTGATAAACTGCGGGGGGATTCGGCACGAGACGTACCGCAGCACACTGAAGACGCTGCCTGGGACGCGCTTGTCCTGGCTCACGGAGCCAGATGCGTTCAGTAACTTTGACTATGACCCCAAATCCGACGAGTTCTTCTTTGACCGCCACCCCAACACCTTTGCTTTTATCCTCAATTATTACCGCACAGGGAAGTTGCATTGTCCCAACGATGTCTGCGGTCCTCTCTTCGAGGAGGAACTCGCGTTCTGGGGTATCGACGAGACAGACGTGGAGGCTTGCTGCTGGATGAACTACCGACAGCATCGGGACGCCGAGGAAGCGCGGGACCACAATTACCCGATAATCTCTACATCCAGACCTGAAGCCTAAATTAATTTTTTTTCTGGGTGCCACACTTGGGATACCAATTTTGGGATAATGAGCATAATAAGGTCATATGAATTCATAGACTTTACACAGATTGCAGCCCAATTAGATGCACCTAACTTTTTTACTTGCATTTTTAAGTAGTCAGATTTTTTTTCCTGTCAGACAATAATTTTTTTTGTTATATAGCTACAAATCTATAGCAATTTTAGGAAACCAAAGTCACTTACTGACCCTTGTTGGTTAAGCTGGAGCACATGAAAGGCAGTTCACCCTTTGCCTCTCAGTATGTCATTCACGAGCTAGTGAACAGCAGCCGTTTATCTCCTTTATCAGCGCAGGCTGGTTATTTAAGATATTTATCTCCCGCGGCACATCTGGGTCAATAGATCATAGTCATGAGCAGTCGATACACACTTGCTTTTTTTGAAATGAGCCCAGGGTTCCATATAACTGATCAGTTTTTGATTGCATTTTGGGTTGCATTTGATTGCAGAATTGCTCTTAATGTGTTTGAAGTGTCTCTGATTGTAAGTTACCCAGCTCTTCTCACAGTTCTCAAGGGGAGGGAGAGATGCCGTCATCATTTTACTGCGTCGTCATTGAATGGAGGTCTTTCATCAACAGTGACACACATAGTGTTTTTTTAGCGGGCTGCTGTATGGGTGCAGGGCCTCGTGCCGGATTGCTAATCATCACTTACAACCTCCATGTCCCTTTCTCTCGCTGTGCTATAGCGTAACACTGCGGCGTCTCATACTAGCTTGACTGCACGTTGATTTCTGCTGCAGAGCAACCGAATAACAGCAACAGAGGCAGAGCCTGTGCATTTGTTTGTGTGTGCAAGTAATGCTGTTAGTCACTTTTTTATAAATCTAAAAGTATGCAAATTGCATGCAAGGTGTGTGTTATCTCAATTTTTGGTTACATCTTTAACTGATTCAATTTTCATTTCAAGCGCTTGTTAAGATGGCGAAGGTGTCTTCAAAGTACATGCTGACTTTCAAAAGACTGTGGCGTCAGGCAGTATAACATAAATAGCATGAATATTTGAGTTGATCTATGAAGGCAATACTGGGAGCTGTATCTCTCTCTGGTTAAATCCCTGGTTTAAATCAGATGATCCAGTGAGCCTGTACATAGGTGAAGAGTTGCAGCAAACCCTGGCTCTTCATTGGCCAGATTAAAGGATTCAGAGAACAGTTAACTACATTTACCAACCTACAGTGCCATTTTATTCAGGTGTTTTCTAACTTTTTGATGCCATGAACTACCAAATATAATGAATGGATTGCAAGGGGCCCCTTCCTAAAACATACAAGACAAATAGATTTTGATGTATAAAAAAAAAAATTATATTGTGAAAAAAATTTATAAATCTGGAAAATATTTACTTAAGTTCACAGTGTATTTTATTTTATTTTTTATAAATGTTTTATTTTTTTATAGTGAATTATTTAATTTAATTTAATTTAATTTAATTTAATTTACAACTTTTATTGTGAAAAAGATTTTATTTTATTTTAAATGAAAATAAATGAATATAAAATATTATCTGAAAAGTATTTACTTTCTATTAAGTTGACACTGTATTTTTTCTACCCATAATAAAGTTAAATGAACTTATTTTGTATATTATATTTTATTTTATTTTACACACTTTTGTGGCTTCCTGGGGTCCCCGAGCTCTAGCTTGAAAACCACTAATCTAAATGACAATTGTCTCTGTAGCGTAAAGATTTGTAATTTATGTGTGATGAACTAGAACAGAAGGTGCATCACCTGAAGAGGAGAAGATGCAAAAAACACTCTACACACTGGAGTTGTATGACAGGTTAATTCAAAAAGAAGCAATAGAGACCACAAAAATAAAGCATCCTCAATGACAATTACGCGAGGAGCAAATGCACAGTATGCAGAATGATCGGAATTGCTTTACTGTTGTTCAGCATCTCAAGCTTGTAGTCGAGCACATGTTGTATGAGCGGATGGATAACAACCTGCGGGTGCATAGTCATTCACGTGCAAAATCCTATTCGATAAGGATGAACAACTATTAAATTAACTACAGAGCTCTTGCAGCGTTTCTTAGCAACAGCCCGTAGTCAAAATAATCCCACTTTGCAGTGCTCTGTGTATTTTGTTCACGCGTAAATAATATATATGCAGAAAACCTTTAATTAACGTCACAATTCACCTCGCCTCAGGTAAACGGTCCGGTATGTATTTAGAAATGTGCGTTTGTTTTGACACTTTACATTTTTCATAATACTCATCACTAAATAATTATTTTACATGCGTAATGTTTTAGTAGATCAACCCTCAATCGATGGCTGTGTCACAAACCCTAGTGAGTTCCCTACTTAGACAGCATTTTTGTGTATCATATCGGCCTGCATGCCTATGTTTGTTGCCAGTACTATTCGAATCTATTTTTATTCTAATCAAAGTAAGTGTCTTAACAACAGCAGTTCACCTTACCGATATTTAGTTCTCTGCATGAATAATATTCCATTTTTAGGTGTCGCATTCCTGCAAACATTTGATTATCCTTTTCTAATAGACAAATATCATGACAAAATATACAGTATATTAAAAAAGAATATATAAACAGAATATATAAAATATATTTTTACCATTTTAGGTACAGCATACCTGCACACATTTGATCATCCTTTATCTAAAAGACAAATATTTAAACAAATAAATAAATTGGGGAAAGATTTTTTGGGAAAACCAGAGGGAATAAGTCTGGGAAAACCAAAGAAATAATTCTGGGAAAACTGGAGAGTAAAGTCTACTTCTATTCTTACCTAATTCTATTCTAATCAAAGTAAGTGGCTTAGCAAAAACTGTTCACCTTACCAATATTTTGTTCCAAGTATGAATAATATCCTATTTTTATGTGTAGCATAACTGAAAACAGTAGATCATCCTTATCTAAATGACAAATTAACAGACGAATGATAGACAGACAGACAGACAGACAGAAGGACAGACAGAAGATGGACAGATAGATAGATAGATAGATAGATAGATAGGAGGGGGAAGATTTTGTGGAATACCTGGAGGAAAAAGTATGCATTGCCAATACTTCTGTTCTCTAATGATGTTCTAATCAAATTAAGTGGCTTAACAAACATTTTCATCTTACCACTATTTAATTCCCAGTATTAATTAAAAAAATAATAATTTTAAATGTAGCATATCCACAAACATTGGGCTCAAATCCTTTGTCAATAACTTGAATGAATGAACGAGCGAACGAGTGAGTGAATGACTAGAGCAACCCTCTACGGACACCTTGGCAATTGAATCGCCATTGGCTAGTAACATTTTTAGTTTCCTCGCCAGACTGATATATATATACATGTTTTTAAAATGGCACAGTTTTCCTAACATCAGTCAGTCAAGCAATAATATGATAATCAAGTATTATTTATTGATAGAACTTTAGTAATTAGAATTAAAACTTGATAATCATGTATGAATGCATATTAGTCATTTTAACTGAACTTAGGACTGGTGGTGGTGCTTTTTTGGTCATTCAGAGTTTCTGTAAATAAAATTGGGAAAAAACGAACAAAAATACTGATAAGAGAATAATGATACGAATTCTACTAATAAGAACAATATAAAAACACACTAAGGATAATGAGCTGCTGGTTTCATGAATAATTAATCAGGTTGTGTGCATTCGCTCAAACTGATTTGCTGAAATCAAAACAGGGATGATAATAGTAATAAACGATAATAATTGTGCATTAGATCCGCCCACTACCAGAGAAAGTAGCAGTTCTTAAAAACTGAAGAATTCCAAAGGAATGCGGTTATCCAGGGACCTGAAACTATTCGAAAAGTGTGTCGCTCCTTGCGTGTATTGGCAAATGAATATTACTCCTTGCTTCCTTTGCAACATTTGATTTAATCATTGCAAACATGTTGGAAGCGCATCCTCAAGGGCCGCATAGACCACAGCATCCCTCTGTGTACAACACATTGAGTGTGATCGGATCAGATTCCTTAGGATGCTTTCCTTTTAACTGCAAGCTTTTTCTTCTAAAATGGGCTCGTGTTTATCAGTTCCTTAAAAGTATCAATTACCTTTTGTGTTCCCTGTAATGATCATGCTCATTTGTAACCAGACTTTGTCTGGCTGTAAATGCTTCTTTTCAGATGAGACCGCTTTTGGCATGCATGAACACACCTCCAATCTTCCCCCACTGTTTCCCTTCTTCTACTTTTACTACATCTCTAAATATAGTAAGAAAAGGAGGGATATGTGGGACAAGATCTCGCTCCTCTCAGTAACAAGCAGGCCTCTTCTTTCTCCTGTACTGTTCATTTTCACTGGCAGTGAAAGCTTAACCGAACCACCAGGGGGACTTGGGTTTTATGCAGTATCTGTACCACACATGTCTTCTGGCCACATATTGCAGCAGCAAAGTGCATGATAATAAAGCTTATTGAACCAGTCACGCTGAGACCAATAAATCGATGAATGAGAGGTAGAGCGGTGGATGCGCTTGAATCTACAGTCGCAGTGTGCTTTTACCCCCTCCTTCACTGGCCGCTGTCCAGCTCGCCGGTGAATGAGTCCGTCTGAGTTGCAGCGTATTTACTTTTACAAGGCATCTTTTCCTGGCTCGAGGCATTTTGTTTGCTTCGGCCTTTTCTAAACTAGACTACATCAACATCCCAGTGAGCCGGTCATCCACCCTGAAGTCTAGTCAGCCAGTGAGCTTGTACCTCTATGGTGCTTTATGCGGTGCAGCGCTCCTACTTTGCATTTTAAATAGGTGTTGAAGACCAACCGATGCCAGAGCCAACGACTTATCAGTGTGAAACCACCTACTTTAAGGTTTTTTTCATAGCAAGACCATTATACTGCCAAAATAATCATAGGATGCCCAGTGATGTCCAGAACTCCTCATTTTGGTCAAACTCTCTCTGAGCTTTTTTTGTTAACTGGGCAAATGGAAAACCCCGGTCCCTTGAGCACT